AAATAGTTACCACACCAGAATTTAACTCAGCAGCTTTTTTTATTACTTCCTTGACATGAGGATTATTTTCAGGTTCAGCTACCTCTGATTCCGCTACATTTGCCACAAATATGACAGGCTTCATTGTTAGAAGACAAAGCTGCGTTATAGCATCCTTTTCAAACTCTGACAAAGATACTGATCGTGCTGGTTTTCCATCCAATAGTGCTTGTTGTATTTTCTCCAAGGCAGACTTTTCTGCTTCCTCCTGAAACGATAGTATTAAAATAAATATCCCCAACGACAACGTTTGTAATGTAACTACTAGGATGCCAATCATACAACAATCAACATATTAAAACCTTGCAAGGATGAACCACCCACTTAATCTCCCAGAAACTAAAAGATAAGTTTACCTTTACTTTAGCTTGTGAATCTTTAGCTCTGCCTTTTTTGAGTTTCTCCATTCTTTTCTCAATCTGCATTCTTGTAAACTTAGTGCCGTTAGTTGGCTCACATACCCAGAAACCTTACAAGGAGAAGAAGAATACAAAATTAATGTTGAAAAAAAAAGAATATATCATCCACATCCCTTGTCTTATGTGCATTTTGCTGACATCATCAGGAGACTGCCATACATGCTTCATAGGTACATAAAAAGCTATTATTCATATACACTTCTCGTGCAATACTATCATCATCACATGCGATTGAATCTGTATTTTGTCCATTTTAATTAAAAGCAAGTACTTTTTATGTTTATGTCCTCTTTTCCTCCATTTTTCTGCATACATCTCCATGAGCTATACTCCTAGTTCATGTTAGAAAAATGAGGAGGCTCGGGTAGGTGACTGCCTCTCTATAAGCACCTAAAAATTAGCAGAACAGTTCAAGTCATTACCATGATCATTTCTTATTCTATATACTTCTTTTTATCCTGCAGCATTGTCTTACTTGAGCCCAAACAAAATGAGTTATATTGCAAATAAATCATCTGCAATTTTAAGTAGTTCACTTTAAGCTCACCTAAAATATAGACATCAACTTAGGAGGACTTTATGTATGATAGGAATCACAGTTCCTCTCCGCCTGATATTCTTAAAAAGGAGAATTATATTCTCCCCTACAGTAATGAAACTAATGCTTTTTGAGATTTTTAATAGACTACATATCAACAGTTAATTTTCAGTTACTTTATTTTTCCAATTAAATGTGTTTGTAATAGATTCAGAAGGCAAATTTGTATTAGGTAAAGCAAGATGGTCCAAAAGCATGACTAAATGTTTTAATTTCAGGCCATATTGCATGGGAGAAATTTTATTTTTCACATGTGGTAGTCTTTTTAAGAATTCCTCAGATTTTTTATTGCAGTTGAGTACAACAACTACTACACCTCAGTCTCAAGCAAGTTGGGGCAGATCAAGTGATAAACCAAATTTTTTGAATAGAGCTTAATTGAAAATCATTCCCCTGAACCGAAGATGAAGTGTTCATTATTATGAGTCTGCTACATTAGACAATTTACTGACCCACAGGATATCTATTGAATGTTTAGAACTGACACTGGTCAGCAACAAACACCAGAAAGTAAATGACCGTACTTAAAGTTTCAATTACAATTTAAACCATTAGTACTATACCCTGTTCTGAAGCAAGAAATTAAAATCTCAAACATGCAGTCACGTTTTCTCTAACAGATTATATCACTTCTTCATAATACATATCTAAAAAGCAACCTACATGCAACAGTACAAAATCTAACAAGTTGTTTGTCAGCATAACTGCCAAGACTCAAGAGCACCCATAGCTTTCATGAAAATCGTATGCTAATATCCTTATCATAAATTCCAGTGACAAATGAACCACTGGAACTGATTTCAGAAAGGAATGAAGTTCCATCTGAGCTGTAGTGAAAAATAAGAAGGAAGAAAAAGTTTAAATGGATCCCAATGACAACTGCTTTTTTCCTTAATTATTTGGAGATCTTCACACAGTTTCTTTAAAGATCACACATTAGCATCCTGTAAATGTAAAGCAGAATTGTAACAAGTACCTGATCCAAGTCTGAGAATATTAATTCCAAGTTGATTACATCAATATCAGCTTTTGGCTCAACCTTCCCATTCACATGAACAATGTCATTGTCCTCAAAACAACGTACTACCTAAAATAGTACACAAAAGCAGTTTCAGCAAGAAACAAACAGAAAATATATGACAGAACAATTTTAAAATCAGTAAGGAACTCAAAGCATACTGATGGAGAACTCTTCCTTCTCTTTAGTCTTTACATGCTCATACGCTAGGAGTGCAATATAACAGTAAAATAAAGCTTTACAATTCAAAAGAGATAAAAAGGCCTTGGAATGATTATTTTCATTTTAGAAATGCAATTGAAGTATTAAATCTGGAAAGAAAGTACGACAGTTGAAATATACAGACGGTAACCAGAATAAGTTCAGAGAAGTTTCTTTCCTGACTTTGATCTCGAGTTGACCATGGCAATCCTAAGTGATACTTCAAAAATTTCTTCATTACTTACCAAAAAGGGATACATCAAGATCTATATTTTATGTAATATTTTTCTTTCGTCTTTATACCAGGATCAAGTGACACTCTTCAATGAGGTCAATCTAATAGATTCATCATTACTTCCATGGAAGTGGGAAGTGGACACTAACATGGACTTCAACATAACACAAGATTACAGATAATAATGATAAAGGAACTAGAAAGTATATAAACCTGAAGTATGGAGTCCACTTCACGAATATGTGACAAGAACTTATTCCCCAGGCCCTGCCATAGAAACTTTTTAATAAAGCTGTTGTTGTATCTTCAATTTATAATGACACTGATGCAATGATACAATAAGTGAAAACATGACTAATAAAAATTGATGTTAGGAAACTTTAGGTTATTGAGAATAAACCTCCCCTTGACTGGCTCCCTTTACAAGCCCAGCAATATCAACAAACTCTATCGAAGCAGGGACTGCTCGTTTGGATTTGCTTATATCAGAAAGAACATGGAGACGTGTATCAGGGACAGCAACTATCCCTACATTTGGCTCTATTGTGCAAAAAGGAAAATTAGCAGCCTGAGCCTTTCCATTCTCAACCTGCAAGAACATTGGCAATGGCTATAAGGGTAAGACCAACAACAAACATACCAGCAGATAATCAAAGGAGTTATTTGACAGCAAACTACAACAATACAATGTCAAGTTTCCAGCATATGCTACCATTTTTTAGCTTTTTAGACTGGAATACACAGAGAATGGACCATAGTAGATTAATAGTACATATGCAGCTGACACCTGCTAGCAAACAAGAACCTAAAAGCTGTCAAACACATAGCCCATTCTGTCAGTTAATGCTAGAGGATTCCAGAGATACCTGAAGTTTAAGATACATTGGTGATCTACATCGACAGCCATAACAAGAAGCAGCACAACAATTACCATTTTTCTGGTTTAACACTTGCACTGAACACACAAATTATTCAGTAATATGATTTTTTTTGCCCCAACATGTAGCTAATAATACATTCATCAACACAAAACCTCGGTTAGAGTCCCCCTGACTAGCAAATAACATCATTCATACAGATGTGCAGTATGCATAATAACATCAATTAGGCTCAGGTGACCAATAATATTGGAAATTGGAGAAGCATCTGGGAATATACACAAAATCAACCTTCCAATAATTTCCTACAGAAATTATAGTTTACCCCGGCATGTAGAACTAATAACACGTTCATCAACTCAAAACCTCAGTTACAGTCTCTCTAACTAGTGAATAACATCCTCCATACAGATATGCACTATGCAGTATGCATTTATCAAATAGATGTACAACAATTCGGCTCTCGAGAAGCATCTAAAAAAATATGCAACATCGATTTTCCATTAATTTCCTACGGATTGTAGTTTTCCAGTTTAAGAGCTATCCAATTTTCAATTAACAGCATCAACCTTCAATTCCTTCTGACAGAAGGACCAGTAACTATACTTACACTCCAGTAAACATCTAACTCATTACACACTCGTACTTGTATTTGAATTTCTAAGTTTCTACTTCACTTCTCTGAGCTTCAATTGCATGACTACCGGCATTTCTTCAAATATAGGTGGTAAGCATTCAAGTGCGTCCTTGCAGAAGGAAATATATTGTGAAAATAGACTTACAACGGCGTTGAACAGCGTGGACTTCCCGACATTAGGAAGGCCAACGATGCCAGCTCGCAAACTCATGCTTATCTTAGCGACGGAGAAGCGCCTTTTGATGAGTACCACAGGATTCGTAGATTCTGAGAGTCGTAACCACTGGTGAGAAGAACCATTGAGGAAAGAAGACTTGAGCGGAATTGCCATGGAAGGAAGAAGCTGAGAGCAAGCCATTCTCGCCATTTTACCACTAGCAGGTTGAAGTGCTTATTGAGTGGTACACACAGCGTTGCGGCTATCTATCGCCGTGTTACAACTACAAATATTTCTCGGGTTCAACTCAGTGACGACGCTACATGTAAAATTAGAAAATTACCCAAATGCTTGCACCAAAATTGAATTTGAGCCCAAAAATTTGGAAAAATGAAACAAAACTAGTCCCTGCCATTGCATTATTTAAAATACCCTTATTTAAATGATGAAGTATATGTGACTTTTTCATTTAAGCAAAGAAAAATTACAATTAACTAAATTAGTTAAATTAATTTGAGTTTCTTTATTTTAATAAAAATGATGTAAGAAGTAAATAAAAGATGAGTCTATTGGAGGGAAGAAAATAGCCTTATATGTATACTTAGTAAGAGTTGTATAAAAGTTGAGCACTTGAGCTCAAACACTTTTACTTGCTCTGGCTACGTTTTGAATTCAGTTCACACTCATATAATTAAAAATTTATACTGAAACTTGAGGAATTCAAAAACAAAATTGTCGACATAATTTAAAAGGCTGAAACTGCGTGCATCCTGCTTGTGCTATATTATCACTATTTTTCAAATTATCTGTGATTTCAGTACGTGTACGCATTTTTCATTCAGGAACATCGTTGTTTACTAAGCTCTTTTTGCGAGCCCTTAAAGTGTAATGACTAATTCTTACAACATACACCAAAAAAGAGTGTCAAAGCACAAACACATCATACATTGAAATATCATTATCTAGCTAAGTTCTCCAGGCTCAAGTGAATGATTTTCACCGACTTAATTCCTTCTGCCACGATCATGGTCACAAGCTCGATCACGACGACGGTCATGATCACGGTCACGGTCACGAGCATCATCACCCTCTGACCTTCGTTTTCCTCTATCTTGATCTTCCCTTCTTCCTCTATTCTGTGAATTGTCTTTGTACCTAACTTCATCTGCATGACCGCCATCATATTCCACCTCATCTCTCCGATCCCTCTTTTCACTCTCCCTCCGATAACCCTTGTCTCCATGCCTCACATTATCCGCATGTCTCTTATCATGGTCTGGTCTCTCCCCCCCAGCCTTACGGTTATCATAATTAGTGTTTCTTCTATAATCCAGATCGTTTCGACCCCTATAATCCTTCTCCTTCTCTCCACTTGCTCTCATCCCACTTCCACGATGCCTCTCTTCAGTTCTATAATCGTTACTTCTATCCTCCTGCCTATGCCGTTCATATCCATCTCTTTTTCTATCCTTCCTGGTTTCATCATCTTCCAGTTCTCTACGTTTAGGATTCTGATTCTCGTAATGTTTTCCACCTTCAAATTCTCTTTCCCTCTTATTTCTTTTTGGACTTCCAGCAGCATCTTCATCAAATACCATTTCATACCTTGAATTAAAGATTCAGAAGAGTTAAAAAAAAAAAAAAAAAAAAAAAAAAAGAGTTTTTAGAGAGAAAAACAGGAGGAATGAGGCGTGGGCCATTTGTTCCTGCTAACCTTGAGTTACCGTCTCCACCACGCTGCTTGTTGTCTTCTTCTTTAAGTATGTAGTTCGACTGCTGTTTGGTGGCATCACCAGTGCAGTCTTTAGCCACGTGATCAAGAGAACCACATTTGAAGCAACCTCTTCCTGAAATAAATAAAAAAATGCCATTGATCAGATCTAATTTGGCAGGGGCTGCAACAATGTTGCTTGCTACCATATGTTCTAACTGTGCAGATACACGAAAGAGAGTTTTGGAACTACTTTAAAACGATAAAGTCGCTATAGAAAGCTCATATGATATTTTACTTGAGATTGTGGGAACAATTCGCTGGCAAGCTTACAGGGATATGCTGGAAAGGCAGTAGAGATGGGAACTTTTACATGATTTTTTTTTTAAAATCAAGAACTTCTACGAGTAAATCTTGTTTTTTTGATAAGGTAACTTTATATTCACATCAAAACTCATCAGCAAAGCCTGATGAGGTGGGATTTACAGCCCCCATGGGGTAAGTTCTATGTGAAATCTTGTTATCAGACTCTGACGAGAAATGCGGCTCGGGATGGTGCTACCATGGACAAATAATTTAGAAATCAAAGCTCCTACTAGAGTAGCTTCTTTTAGATGGGTTACAGCACATGACACTTGTTTGACGCAGGAAAAACTACAAAGAAGAGGTTTTAACTTTTGTAGCTGGAGCTAAACTTGCAAAAAGATGGTGAGACAGTCGATCGCTTGCTACTACACTGCTATTTCAAGTGGCATATTTGATGTATATTCAGATGTTCCATAGTCTTACGGAATTCAGTGGGCAATGCCAGCCAATGTGAAGCAAGCCCTCTGTAGTTGGCAAAACCAAAGTTTGAAAAAGGAGGAGAGGAAGGTCTGGAAGGTCTGGAAGATCTGGAAGACAATTCCATTGTGCATAATGTGGACTGTTTCGTCAGAAGAGAGAAATCGAAGATGCTTTGAAGGGAAGGAAGAGTATTGCTTTAGTTAAAAGCACATAAATTCAGAGTTAGAATTTTGGTGTAATGCTGACTTTGCTTTTGATGTTTGATGTAATGCTGGAACTTTGGAATCCTCACAGCTATAAGAGGATTTCTATTCAGTATGTTTTTGTACTTCTCCGGTACAATCTTGGTACTGAGATCCATTAAAAAGACTTACTTTTTACCTATCGAAAGAAGAAACCAATCTATCACCCTATTTAGCAACCTCGAGGAAAAAGTTCCAATAGGATAAACCTGTTAAGTTACATTTAAGAAACATAATCCGTCAATTGGTCACACCAACTGAAACAGTAATTTTATCATACCAGAAAAATTAAACTGAAACAGTAATTAGTTTTGGGGGATCAAATGGCAAAATAATGACACTGAATAGAAGTATCAACAGTAAATATAAAATGAAGTGTGATCCTAAAAAGATCAAATTCCAATAAGCACTTGCATGGACTCAAAAATCATACTAACATCTGCACAGATGAGCAAAGTATTTGATATCAAATACAAACCGTCATACAATCTGATGACATCATCTTGCTATAGCATTCAGTTTTTAATACAAATAAATTCCATTCAAAATTGATAGACGAACACATTACAAGATGTACATAGTTACCTTTACCCGTTTGGTCTTTGCGTCGATATTGGGACCACAACTTTGCAACACTCTGGCTGAAATCAACATGTATCCTTCGATCATCAATTAAAGCATTATCCATCTATCAAAAATAGCAAAAGTGAGTCATCGAAAATCATAGTTCCCCCACCATATATGTTGCTACATTCTAATAAGTATAAACAAACACACAACTTCAATGTTCAGGTAACAAGTTCATAAAAATGAAAGGATAAAACAAGCTAGACAGAAATGCACAGCATTTGCAAGTGCTCCTGCCATTAATATTGATTGCCCACTTTCCTTTTTGGTGCCTTTAAAAATAATGTCTACTTCCATAAAAGGGAAGTTCTACCACATATTTCATCACACCAATCATTGCAAAGATTCTACTTCAGACCACACCTCTTGTATCCATTGGAAACCAAAAAGTGAAATGTTGTTCCCCTACGTTCCTCAACTAAAACTGCTTATGATAAACTTTTAAACCTGACCTGGGAGACATAAATGCTCAACAAGACATTCCATAACATGTTTTTCTAACAAAAGGAGGGGGGGGGGGACAAACCCCTTCATAAATTAATAGGTAGGTCATGAAAAAAAAAACAATGCCAAGAACATGTATATCAAGTACTACTTCTATAAAGCAACTGCCTTAATACCCACCAACAAGGATCTTTAAAATCAAGCTTTCCAACTGGTGGTATTTCACACACATTATTTATTTATTTATTTTTATTTTTAAAATCTAGTACCAGACCCCACTTATGGGATTATATGTTGTAAAAAAAATTAGTAGTATGGGTGCTGCATTATCAGTATTGGCTTTCGTTTACACTTGACATCAAGATAACACAGACTATCATAGGACAAGTGTCCATTAAGTGATATACATTCTAACACCAGCATTCAAGTTTTACATTCAATTTGGAGCTCATAAATATGAACTTCTTAAGCCCTTTGATAAATAGACACAATTAATAAAATACATTCATACATTCCAATCAAGACGGATATTCTTCTTCTTTACTACCTTAAAATATGCTTGTTCACAGGCCTCTTTGTCCTCAAACTCTGGCACAATAAGAAGTTATAAATCAGTACGTATGGAAAAATATACAAAAGAAAGCAATTACTTGCACAATGATTAATTGGGGCTAAACAAAGAGAGAACAAAAAACAACATAGTTAAAAACTGTTTTCCCAGTTTAGTTGGTAACGAGACAGAGAAGAGGAAACCAAAAGTGAAGATATGAAAGAAACAATGTCTACAAGCTTTTCAATCCCTTAAAGAGGAAGTATGTCTTTTTTTGCCTCCCTTGTATTGTACATATACAAACCAAGGGGGATTAAGTCATTAAGGGGGAAAACATGTGCAAGGTGTCCCTGATTCACATGAAGGGACTTGTTAAGGGGAAGAAGGCCTTGTCTAAACACAAGGGTTTATGAACTTGGACTAAGGTTAATCAAAAGCCATCCATGTGCAGACTATAATCATTAAAAGGAAAAGGGGGGTTTGGGTAAGTTACTCCAACAGGGTCTGCTTTGGAGAAAAGCAGAGGCAATGAAATTTGAAATTTATTATTTTATTGCATTTGATTTTGTAAAAGATATATTGACAGAATGAATATTGATTAGCAATCATATTACCGCCTATGATTCTGTCCTTCATAGAGACTGAGGTTCTAATGAGAAGTTCTATAAAAGAAGCTTCTGCATGACTTCTAGATAAGAGTTGAGCATTTAAGTGCTAAGCTCTGTCCCTCTCTTGCCTTCTCTTCTAGTTTCTCCTCAAAGCCCATGCAAAAGACTGATACTCCAACATTCTATTGTTTTTGTTCCTTTCATATTCCTTCAATCCAAACAAGCCCTAAGATTAAGATGGGCTATTCCTAGTGAGGGTGGGAACAGAAGAGAATCACTGGGAAAGGTAATGCAGGTTGTAATATGATCAGTGGTGAAGCAAGCAAATATTTGAATAGGAGATACACCCTTGTGGTTAGAGGGTGATGGCATTCACCACCTTAGATGATGATGATCAAGGATTCAAGGTGTTGCTCGTTAACAATAGATTGCTACTTCTGAAAAAATAGCAGGTAACAACAAAATCAATTGGAGATCAAGGTATTATATTCAGCTACGAGTAGTATACAGCTAGATGAGGCAAATCAATCAAGATTTGAGGTATCATACCGATCAGATCACTATTGAGAACTTTGCATTAGAAAATGTTGATAAAGAAGTACACATGTTGGAATTGTTTTCAAAAGTATATATAGGTACGGATATCGATCAAACATATGTCCGCCTTGGTTCAGATAATTTAGAGAATGTTGCCCTAAATAGTGCAAAATTAAAAGGAGGTCTTCCTCAAGTGATTGACTGGTCAACAACATAAGAGGTTTTGACACCCTCGATGAGCGCCAAAGGTACAGATATCATTATAGCACGCTTAGACTTGTTAGTAAGCATTGGACAACTCACATCACATCCTTCAGAGTCTAATTTTGGAGAAAAACATCACTGGGGTCTGGGGAAGAAGCAGCAATAAGATGCATATTTATATTTGTTAAGCTTTTACCTCACAATTGTTTCAGTGGAAACTTAAACTTACCAATGAAAGCATAGCAGAGGCTATCCCCAGTCTTGAAGTCCCTAATTATTTCAGCACTGAGGAGAACAAGTACTAAGAGATGAGAGAAATTTCAACGCATATTGACAGATAGGGAAGAATAAATAGCACGTAAAAATATTGAACATATCAAGAAGTCAATGACTTACGATGTCACGGTACCAAAGCGTGAAAAGATTGTATACAGATCTTCATCCTGCATGGAAAAATAGTCTGATAGTACCAGAAAGAAAAACGGCATACTTGTTCTAATGTTGGAAGACCAAGACTAAAGCTTAGACAATAGTCCTAAAACAAACACTTAAGCACAAGAATAAAGAAGAAACTCACTTCAGTAACTGGATTCAATTTACATACAAAAAGCACATTGTCAGGCGGCTTTATCTCAGCATCAGGAATGTCCCCTACCTGTGACACAAGTTAGTACAATTACAATTTGGTTGTTTGGCAATTTTTGAATGATATAGTTGATAAAAGTTCTTACACTTTCAAGTACTACTGCTCGCGAATGTGCTTCTTTTGCACGCAGAACCTCCTCAAGTTCTTGCATGCCTAGTTGCTCATCCATAGGCACCGAATCATCTTCTAGTCGTACATCATCTTCAACCTAAGTAGATAAAAAGATGTAAGGGTAAGAAAAGGATAAATAGGTGATGCTTGAAAGTGGACAGTGAATATACTGGGGATATTTATCCTCTTTTATAAAAATTGCATTCACTTCCATTGCAAAGGAATATGGGTATAAAGAAGAGCCTTAGGTCCCACCCTGAGATCACATCCAAGTGAGCAAGTCATGCAGTTTCATTGAATATCAGGAAAGGAATTGCAAAACAGGCCTAGTGTTTTACACTACAACAACAGCATACCCAGTGTAATCCTACAAAATGGGGTCTAGTGTTTTACACTATATTTTAGAAACAAAAACTTCTCTATGCAACATGCTTTAGGAAAACAAATCTCTTAGTTTTTCTGTAATCACACATATCTGACGCGGAACTCTATCATTCTTTTCAAATTAAAGCCCAAATACAAAATTCTTGACTAAATATGGATGAAGAATTTTTTTGTCAGATAATGCAAAGCTTAATAATCTATCATAATCCTCTAGCAAAAAGACCAATCTAAAAACAAGAAATGTGGCTCTCATGCTCTATATTCTGACATTTACATTGTTAAAATTTTCCAGAAGAAACAAGCTTTGCTGTAGACAAAATTATTTGTCAAGAACTGAACAGTGGAAAGATGTGAGTACTAGTTTATTCGACTTTTACTAGAATTTCATTGACGTCCCTACTCAAGATACCCTAATTATCTTGGCATACTAACTTTAAATGGACATCTTTAAAATTTATATTAAGCTAAAAACTGGTTCACAGATTAAAAGGAAAAAAGAAGAAAGGAAACAGACAACAAAGCTTTGCAGAATCTTTAGGTGGACAACCTACAGTCCAAAACTTAAAAGTTTGTCCATGTATCAATTAAGATCTGCAGAATGAAAGAAATGAACTTCACGGAATACCATTGCATATCTTTACCAACATAATCATGAAAAAAATTGAGAAAGAATAATCTTAAATTTAACGCAGAGAAGGATGAACTAAAATATACTTGAGATGCATAGAAACTAGGGGAGGTGAACAAGTGGACCAGTAATTTCTACATTCTTTACCTCATCTTTTGGCTTTCCTTCAGGTGAAGCATCTGGAACCAAGTCGCTTAGTTGGGGAGGATCGTCAAAAGGGTCGTCCACTATGTAAGTGTGTTTGATTCTGAAGTGTGGAAATTATCAATTAGAAGAGATCTACTAAATAGTGAAAAAGAGAGCATAAAATACATCAACAACGAACCGGATATTTTTAAATGGCCTGCCCTTCCCGTCCACATAAGCTTCATTTATCCTATCCAACGTCTCCTGCCCTTCTGCAATCTCTCCAAAAACCTGACAGAACAAAACCCATTGATCAAAATGTCAAGGATTAGGAGATCTTAACAACTTTAAGAGAACACGCAGGAATTATATAATCAGAGGCTTCATACCTTTTAGCCTCATATTATTCACAAAGAAGTCATAATAAATAACAATGAAATAACATGAATGATGCAGAATATAAATCTGAAATTAAGCAAAACTACGTAGGAAAACCAAGACAATCAAGGAAATAAAATATAAAGATATTTCCTTGACTTTTATTTGTGATGCCACTATACAAGATAAAATTCTAGCACGTGGATATTATGCATCATCTTCAGACCACAAAGAACATATCAAATAAAAGGTTGTAAATACACTCTATTAGCCATAAGTCCTAGACAAGCACAAACATAGATACAATAGTACTAATATCACTATAATGAGTGTAGTTAATTTCAGAATATCTACAGAAAATCACAACCTTTTTTTGGCAACTACTTCACGTAAAAACTTAACCCAACATAGTGAAAAATCCACAAGAAGATAGGAGAAAATAGTATGTGAACTTAGTAAGAGCAAGCAGGAATAGTTTGAAACTAAGATATGATTACTTTGCATATCCTTGAAATATTTCAGGAAAAAAAAATTAAACATCACAAAATGTAGGTCAGCAAGTATCGGAAATTATGTTGCCAAGTAGCTTTCTTCTTGTTATCACTACTAATGAGTTTCACAAAAGTATTCCAGAATAGGATTCTCCAGATAGAATCTGAGCAACATCAAAAAAAAGAACCCCTCATAAAATGAATCCTTATTTGGCTATAATTTTATATCATCTGATAAAAATTTCAGTACTAAACTGGATCCCTTAGAACTTTCAATGGAAGGTAATATATTTTGTGCTATTTCTGGCATAATACCTCCTACCTACTTAGATGGGGGTAAAAAAAATGTTGATCGGAACAATGACCTTAATGCCTGTGATTTGTGAAACCATCTTAATTCTTAGCTTAGAAATTATCATATTGTAGTGCAACTGAGGTAAACAAATAAGGAAATGCTCATGGTGCCAAAACCATGGTTAAATGTTAATGCAGCTAATAGAGAAATTTATAGTGCACGGATCAACGAAATAAGTCAAATTTTGATGCCTTAATAGAACAAAGAGGGCGAATAAAGTTTAGGATAGAGAAATACTCACAGTGTGCTTCCCATCAAGGTAGTCGAGATCATCACGCAGTGTGATGTAGAACTGAAAAGTCAAAAAGAAGAATCACATACCTATATGATGTTGTATCACAAGCTATGAACTCGAAAGGGACCAAATGAAGACAAAAGCTACAAGAACTTCATTATAAAGGATTGTATGGAAAGCTAATGTGAGGGAAAATTACAAGACCTGAGAAGCATTTAGGTTCTCCCCAGCGCTAGCCATGGCTACAGTTCCCATCTTTGAATGCTTCAAGTCCAAATGAATCTCATCTCCAAAGAACCGAGCCTGGTCACCATATAAAATTCTGAAAACACATTGAGTGATGTGATCAGGCTAATATGAATACTGCATCTTATAGCAAAGACAATCCAAGACCCCTTTTACTAAAATGTATTAACAGATACTATAAATAATCCAGGGGTAGACAACACATTCAAACCATTACTTGGAAGATAAGCCATTAAATAGGGGAAAATAGACGTACGGCCAACTGAAAGAATCCTCCACCTCCAACTACGAGGTTGAGGCTTGAGTCACCAGTGAGTGAAACTGGATAAAGCCAGTGTCGGCCCTCAGATGGGTGTTTGGGTTCACCATATCAAATGAAAGAAAAATGCACTTGAAAAAAAATGAATTTACCGCATCTATAACTACTGCTTACTTGTAAATTGAATCGCCCCCAGATCCTGTTCCAGTGGGATCTCCGGTCTGCGCAGTGAAATCCTTCTGAACCGTGTGGAAAAGGCAGCCATTGTAATACTTAATCCTACATTATCGAAAGGAGTGAGTTTATAAGTTTAACGCTCCTTGAACATATATGCATTCGTTTTACATATTGTTTTCACTTCTCATCGCAGTCAGATATCGGTGTGTTGCATAGAATATAAGAGAACATACACAACTCGTTCATAAAGGTAATTATGGCCTTCTGGTGACAGCCGTACGAAACAGAATGAAAGACTTGCATAAAAAACAGTACCAACTTTGACACATCATTCAAACCTTGACAATTCGGATCTAATAAACCAACAAGACAAAAGTAAGCCAAAGAGAAAAGCTATGAGCTAATAAAATTAAAACTAAAACAAGGAAAACTGAACTGAGAAATCAAAAATTAAGTAAAAAAAAAATTGATGTTGGATGCAACGAGTTTCTTTGTTTTTTTTTTTTTTTGTTTTTTTATTTATGACCGTGGTGTCCAGGCAACCTCGACTAATTGCACGGGGATACCTGCCACCTACCACCAGCAACAGGTACTAGGTTACTCTGTCCACCAAGGCTAGGATAAATGGGAAGAATCACGTAGTGTTCAATGAGTTTCTTTGTTTTGCTTCTCAATGACCAAGGAATATTTTTTTTATGATTGTATTAATTCAAAAAAGGGCTGACAGCTAAATGCAATTCCTATATGGTTCAATTTGTTAGTTTCAACGGATAAATGCATACACATACCTATCTTCGTCGCAGTAGATTCATAGTTAGCATGTTAGAATTAGTATACAAATAGGTTTCTGATTGAAACAAATACAACACCAGATAAGAAACGAATTGAACAAATTCAGCAAGTTTTTTCCAATATCGTAGCTTAAATCCGCAATTAGACGAGTATAAACAGAAACAATAATATCCACAAAAGCAGGTTCAGCGTAAACACTTACTTGCACAGCTTCAAAAAATTCTTGCATGTCAATGGGCAGCGATCCGTAAACAAGTCAATAACCAATTCTCCCAAACTCGTCACTATCATCACTGACATTTTTCTCAGGAAGAAAGGAGATTGAAGAGTGGGGAAGAGGGGTTTTGGGTTCAGCAGGTTCGGGGAATGTTGAGGTAAAGAGACCTCCAAATCGAGAATTTAAAGTGAGTTATTGAAAATTGAAATTATATATTTAATTATAATTATGAATATAAATTGAAATTATTTTTATTTTTTCTTTTAAAAAATCATGATCAAATATTTCCTAAGATTTTCCTTTTATTTATTTACTAGTAAAATAATGCGAAGCGCGGAAATTTAATATAACGGAATTTATAAAATAATACTTAAAACTTATTAGACATTAAAACTAAAATACTATATTATCTTACATACAAGATTACGTAGTAACAAACACTGATAATGTAAAGGAAAAATGAAAATTATTACGACTTATCATTTATCCTTAATAACATAAGCATAAATTAATGACTGTCAAAATACATACCAAGATCTGTAACATAAGTAATGGTGTCAGTGAGCCACTCAACAGGAGCAACGTACACAAATATTTAATTGTGAAGAAGAAGAAAAAAAGGTTCAAAATTTTCGTTGTTTTAAAATGAGAGAAATCCCTCTAGTTATAAACAACAAAGAGTAGTGTGAACAAAAGTTTATTGTGCCTTATCAGAAAGGTTACAACTATTTGAAAAAGTTGCAACCTGTAACATCTCGCAATTCGAAATAGCTAGGAAGAAGCTAAGAACTGGAAATAGTCATTTTTGGAAATAATGAAAATCTGGAATTTGTTTAAGTTAGGAAAAGTTAAATTTGACCAACTTCAAATGCCATAACTTCTAGCTCAGGATGAGTTAGAGGCACTTCTAGATATGGTATGAAAGATCTTGGAATGATCTTTCCAACGCCGCTGAGTTTGCGCGATTCCGAGTTCGTATGAGTGAGTTATGCCCTTTGAAAGTTGGGCTGTTGGAATTAGGAAAGTCCAATCCGAATTTTGGAAGGGTAATTTAGTCTTTTCCCTACCTAATTATTCTAATTCGTTTTTAGGAGTTTAATTAGGGTAAAGTCTGATTTTAGAAAAGTGAATTTCACGCTAGGGCTTGAAGAAAGGAGAAAAGAGGAGAAAGGAGAAGAACGTTCAAGATTCGTCGAGATTAGCTTATGGATTTCGTCGAGGGTGAGATCACATAGCGTTGGGTTAGCTCACCCACGCGTCAATCATGATTTATTTCAGCGAATTTAAGTTCTTGAAAGCTTAGAAATCGAGTTCTTGATGGCTTTGTTGAAGTTCTACTAAATTCTTGATTCGTTGAAATCGTTGAGGAGTTGTTTGATCAGAATCCATGATTTTAGGTTTGATTTTGAGTAGAATCTGATGTACTTTGAGCTTATAATCAATTCTAAGTGTTTGGGGAAAGAACCCATGAAGTTTAGAGCTGGAAAATGAAGAAGAAATTTCGTCCGTCGAAATTTGACAGTGCCTCCGCGTCGCGGAGCTAGTCCCCAATTTTGGGAAAAGTTGTTTCGCGGAGCGGAGCGGTCACGGACCGTTCTGCCTCAAAAGTTATTTTCAAAACCAAAATTTAAATGTTTCTTCGCGTCATAGACCCACCCTCAGATATTGATTTTGGGTATTTTCTTATGTTTAACTATCTAAATTCATTCTTAAACATCATGAGATATTTCCTATCATAAATCACGATCCTTGAATCCGTAAATTCAATTCAAGGAAAGTTAAGAGCTAAGTCAAGAGTCAACTTAAGAGAAGTTCATAAAGTTTTCCAAAAGTCTTTTCCAAACGTTTTAACTTTGTTTTAAGACTTAAGTTTTGAGTTCAGTAAAGAGTAAAGTTGAAGTTCATTTTTTCAAAAGTATATAGGGGTTATGTATTCCCAAAGGGTTTAAAATGTTTTCGCATTTAAACAAGAAAGGAAACCTCGATTTCCAAGGAGCCTTCGGGCTAGTTTTCAGAAAAGAGTAATCGCTTTCTAAATGAAGCAAAAGAGGAAACTTTGATTTCCAAGATAGTCTTTGATCTAAGTTTTTGAGCACTAATCTCAAATCACAGAAAGAAGTATGTTTTTAAACATAAGAGCTAATATTATATTTTTGGGAGTAGTATTGAGCACCGATATGGGGGAGAGTTCAGACAACTCACAGCCCCCATAAACGATGCAGCCATTATGGGTAGAAAATGGTCATACTTTTTAGATGATTCTTTTAGTGCTTTTTAGCATAGACTAGTGGATCCACTTAGTGAGTTAGGTTTTATACCCCCGGCAAGGTATAGGACTGTCCTTGGCAGCGTGAGGTAAAACGTTGTATCATCACTATAGCTCTTAAGTGATGATTGTCGGTTAGAGAAACTCCCACAACAGTATTTTGTATTTTTATATACAAACAGAGTTCATATTGTATCTTTGCATACATACAGAGTTATTATTGTATTTCTAAATACACAGAGTTGATATCATGTTTTAAACAACTTTTCCTTATATTGCACTTGTTTTTAAACTGCTTTATATTGAAATGAGTTCAGTTATATTGAGTTGAGTTGAATCAGGTAAGTTCTTCAGTTTCTTTCAGATTCTTTTCAAGCTTAAGTTGTGTTTACCATTCCAATTCGCATACTCGTACATTTAATGTACTGATGCCAGTTGGCCTGCATCGTCTTATAATGCAGACGCAGGTAACCAGGATCAACATCCAGCGTATCGTTGATCCAGTTGAGCTTCAGAGTTGTTGGTGAGCCTTCTTACATTCCGGAGGATCCCTCTTTTTCATTAATTTATCATTTTAGTTCATTAGGATATCGTGGGCCTGTCCCGACATCCATCTCAGTTGTTTTAGAGGCTTCATAGATAATCAGTCAGATGTTAGTTCATTCGTCATCATTTTGTTATTGGCTTATGTTCAGAATTGAGTTGCCATTTTGGCTAAGTTAAATGTTTATTTCTAAAACATTATGAGTTCAGTTTGAGACAGTTGAGTTATTTAGCATATGAATCTTTTTCTTAATGTTTAAAGTCTTCCACTGAGTAAGTAAATCAGGCCAAGGGTTCGGTTAGGGCCAGTAACGGTTCTCGAGTGCCGGCCACGTCCAGGGTGTAGGCTCGAGGCGTGACACAACCCTTCGAAAAGGTGACAACCTTTCATAAAAGTTACAACTTTTCATAAAAGTCGCAACTCTTCATTAAAGTGACAACTTTTCATAAAAGTCGCAACTCTTCATTAAAGTCACAATTTTTCATAAAAGTCATTTCATGAAAGAGGAAGGCTACTTTTGGAAATAAATAAATTAAAAGAGAATTCTGATTTGTGGTGGCGCCACGTAGGCGGGCATAAAGTTCTCTTTTATGCGCGAAAATTTAATATAACGAAATTTATAAAATAATACTTAAAACCTATCGGGTATTAAAGCTAAAACACTATATTATCTTACATACAAGATTAAGTAACAAACATTGATAATGTAAAGGAAAATGAAAATTATTACGACTTATCATTTATCCTTAATAACATAAGCATAAATTAATGACTGTCAAAATACATACCAAGATCTGTAACATAAGCAATGGTGTCAGTGAGCCACTCAACAAGAACAACGTACACAAATATTTAATTATGAAGAAGAAGAAGAAGAAGAAGAAGAAGAAGAAGAAGAAGAAGAAGAAAAAGAAGAAAAAGAAGAGGTTCAAAATTTTAGTTGTTTTAAAATGAGAGGAAATCCCTCTATTTATAGACAACAAAAGGTAGTATGAACAAATGTTTATTGTACCTTATCAGAAAGGGTACAACTATTTGGAAAAATTGCAACCCTTCGAAAATGTCACAATCTTTCATAAAAGTTACAATTTTTCATAAAAGTCACAACTCTTCATTAAAGTGACAACTTTTCATAAAAGTCACAGCTTTTCAAAAAAGTCGCAACTCTTCATTAAAGTCATAACTTTTCATAAAAGTTATTTCATGAAAGGGGAAGGCTAGTTTTGGAAATAAATAAATCAAAAGAGAATTCTAATTTGTGATAACGCCACGTAGGCGGGTCTAAGATTCTCTTTTATGTATATCTAGTAAAGAAAGCCCGGGCAGCTAATAAAGTTATATTGTTACTCTCTCCATCCCATATTAGATGAGAATCTTATTAAAAATATTTTTTTCATATTATTTGAGCACTTATTAAATTAGGATAGAATTAATTAATTCTCATTTTACCCCTACAATTAATATGACCATTCCTATATTGTATGTGTATTTTTTGTAACTCATTTCAACGTGCATTGATATAAACAAAGGGCAAAATGGTGAAGTCTTCCAATGTATTAATGATTTCTTAATCACCGTGTAAAGTTGGAAGTGCCCATCTAATATGGGACGGAGGGAGTATAGTTTATGTATTGTTATAAAATTAGTAAAGATTGTTATAATATATGTTGCTCATAAGTGAGCTAATATAGAAACTTATTTGTCATTTGTCTTTTTAATTTCAATTTTAAATAGCAAATAAATGTAGCGATAAGATTGAGGGTAGAAATGAAGTATATCTTTCTAAATTTAAGTAAAAATAAACAGAGTAGAAGTAACATTAGGGTTATCGATAGGACGATTCATTCGGTTATTTTTAAAAAAATTATATCATTCAATTTTTCGGCTATTTTATAATGTATAACCAAAATTAAAATTTTAAAATCATCTCAATCCTAATTTATGTGACACAAGTAGTACAAAAATTAGTGTTTTTTTTGTTGTCTTGTAGATATTTTAAGTTATTATTTATTATAAATTATAGTACTTTTTATTAAAGTTTTTAATAACATATGTTACTTTTTATGTTTGAGAGTTAAACCAACTTTTTTTTATATGTCTTTTAATTTTATATGTGTTTTATCCTTTTCCATTTTCAAAAACCAATACTCTCTCCATTTTATTTTATATGTCATTTCTTTTTATAAATATATTGGTTATTCCCTCTTCTTATTGGAACACATGTTGACTTGTGGACTGTGGTGAATACTTATTCCCTCTTCTTATATAGTAATATATATATATGATATTTATATAGAGAGATTTATTTTTTATTCAACATTAATTTATGAGTGGAATTGAGAAAAAATAT